TGGCCCCCCTGCTGATCTGCTTACCCCCAACTGCCACTCCCGCCTGCCTGATCATCCCCAATGCCCCTCCCCCACTGGTCTGATCACCCACAACTTCCCTCTACTCTTGGCCTCTAACCGCCTTTACCTCAGCCCTGCCACCATGACTTTGTCCAGAAGAATGTACGGAAGGTCTCCTGAAAGGTCTCCCAGACAAATTAGTATATTAATCTTTTATTAATACAGATAGAGGCCTGGTGCATGAGTGGGGGCTGGATGGTTTGCTCTGAAGGGTGTACTGGATCAAGGTGGGGGTTCCCTTGGGGGGGTGTGGCCAGCCTGGGTGAGGGGCTGAGGGCTATTTTCAAGCTGGCCACAGCCCCTTCAGTGGGGAGGATCCCACTGGGGTGCCTGGCCAGCCTGGGTGAGGGGCTGATGGGTATTTACAGGCTTGCCAAACCTCCCAGCAAGGAACCTCACCCCATGGGGTGTGGCCAGCCTGGTGAGGGGCTAAGAACTGTTTTCTGACTGGCCACACCCCCTTCAGGTTGGGAGTCCTCACTAGGATGCCTGGCCAGCCTGGGTGAGGGGCTGATGACTATTTGCAGGCTGGCCAAGCCCCCCAGCGGGGACCCTCACCCCATGGGGGTGTGGATAACCTGAGTAAGGGGCTTTTTTCCCCCCAGTGCCTCCTTGAGCTGAGGCCAGGGCCAGTGAAAGCAGATACCTGGGATTTATTTATCTTCTATAATTGAAACTTCGTAGCCTTGCCTTGAGTGGAGACCAGGGCCGGCCAGGACAAACTGGAAGCTTAGTTTCCTGCAATACCAGGGGCAACCCAAGCCTCCTGCTTGCTCCAGCTCTGTGGCCATCACCATCTTTGTTGGGCAAATTTTCATACTTGCTCCTGATTGGATGGTGAATGTAGCAGAGTGATGGTTAATTTTGCAGATTTCTCCATCACCATCTTTGTTGGGCGAATTTGCATACTTGCTCCTGATTGGCTGGTGAATGTAGCAGAGTGATGGTTAATTTGCATGTTTCTCTTTTATTAGTGTAGATATTATTTTAGGCTAGTTACTTAACTTCTTTGAGCCTCCCATTCTTCATCTGTAATGTAAGGAGGTAAAAATGTGTATTTATTAATGAGGATTAAATCTCTCTCTCTCTCCCTCTCTCTTTCTCTCCCAAATTTTTATTATGGTATCAGCAATGATATCTAAAGCAATTTGTATTTCCAGTCCTTCATCTCTAAATCAAATTACATTAACATACACAATTGAATATTAAATAGAGTGACATGCTCTATTTTTTAAAGATATTTTTAGAAAAATAATTTGATTTGCAAAGGCTTGAAATATAATTTATAATAAAGCCAAAATTTATATCACAGGAGTAATTTAATTTCAAAAAATATTTCATTATATAATTAATGAAATGGTTATTAAAGCAAGAGTTCTCTAAATGCCCCTACTGAACTAAAAGTGGGGAACATGTGGGCACATTTTGTGGAGTTGCAGAATAAAGAGAGTAATATCCAGTTCTGGACAGCCCTTGCTGCAACCCTAACTTTTAAGGGTATTAGGAAAGAATGTGGTATGATCAGAAAGGAAATGAAAAAGGGAAGGAAAGGTTAAAAAAAAAAAAAAAAGAACGAACGAAAGAAAGAAAGAAAGAAAGAAAGAAAGAAAGAAAGAAAGAAAGAAAGACAACTCACATCTCTACATTTGCTACATTTACTGATCTTTCGCCAGGAACAGGAATTATTTTCCTTAGTACACATCTACACATTGACATTGGAAATACTTCTTCTCGGGGATACATTGCAGTTTGGAATCTGGGTAAACTGCCTCTTCCCATCCTCTCCAGAAAGCTACCATGGGATTACTTACTACCCTTTTTAAAAAAAACATCTTTATTGTCCCCTTTTTCCCTCCCATTGACCCTTACATGCTACACCACCTCCATACTGCAGGATTGTCTGTGCCCATGAGTTATGCATATTCTATGTAATAAAAGGCTAATATACAAATAGACTGAACAGCGGAACAACCAAATAACCAGTCACTATGATGTGTGCTGACCACCAGGGGGCGAGTGTGGAACATGGCGGGCCTCAGCTGCAGCAGGATGGTGGAGGAGGTGAGTGGGGGCACCAGACTAAGGTCGGATGCTGGTTGCTGTCATCAGGGCAAGCCTTTGATGGTTACTGAAAAATCTTTGCTCCTGTGCACCATGGTCCCACCCAGTGCTCACACCTGCTGCTGACCCTGGTCCTTCTCACACCTGCTGCCAGTACCTGAATTGCTCAGCGCCGTCAGTGGGTGCTGGCCACAGTCGCCTCTCAGGGCTTCTCCACCTCTCCCTGCTCCAATGGAGCAGCAGCGGGTTTTTGTACCTGCTGCTGGCACCAGCTCCAATCGCTTCACGTCTCCGTCAGTGGGAGCAAGTGGGGCTAGTGCCATCAACATGTGGGAGCAGTGGTGGTGGGATCAAGGCTGCCAGCAGACAGGTGACCAGGGTCCATGGCTAGAGGGGCTAGGTAGGAGCACAGAGGATGGGCCAAGACCTGCCCTTGTGCCCACTGCAATCTTGTGGCTTACCGTTCCGTTTAAGGTGCTAGTCCATATAATAAACCCTAATATGCAAATTGATTGAACAAGAACAACCAGTCGCTATGACATGCACTGACTACCAGGGGGCAGATGCTCAATGCAGGAGCTGCCCCTTGCTGGTGAATGCACTCCCACAGGAGGAGCAGCACTCAGCCAGAAGCCGGGCTCAGGGATGGCGAGCTCAGTGGCAGCAGTGAGAGCCTCTCCCATCTCTGTTGCAGGCAGATGGTAAAGAGTGAGGAGTCCTGGACTGTGAGAACCCTGGACTCACAGAGGAATGTCTGACTGCCATGTTATGCTGACATCCCCCAGGGGTCCGGGACTGGGAGAAGGTGCAGGCTGGGCTGAGCCCTCTGCCACCCTGCCCCACCAGTGCACGAATTTCATGCATCAGGCCTCTAGTATGCATATAAATTAGTTGATTAATCTCTTCCTGCCCCCTGTTACTGCCTTTTCATAAAAATTGACCCTTTTCTCACCCCAATAAAAATCTGCTTGAAGTACATGTCTGTCTCTCTTGAGCTGCCCCACATCTTTTTTTTTTTTTTCCACAGACAGGAAGAGAGAGGGATAGAGAGTTAGAAACATCGATGAGAGAGAATCATCGATCAGCTGCCTCTTGCACAGCCCCCACAACCAAGATACATGCCCTTGACCGGAATCAACCCCGGGACCTTTCAGTCCGCAGGCCGACGCTCTATCCACTGAGCCAAACCGGTCCCGGCAAGCTGCCCCACATCTTGAGAAGTGTAAGCCACAGATGCTGCTCCAAGGCAGAGTTCTTTGGCTCCTTGACTTGGCATTGGGTGTACCCCACCCCATTTTCTTAGCCAAATGGCCTTGAGGCTTCTTCTCAAAATAGCTTACCAAGAGTTCCTAGTGATTTTGTTCATTTTCTCCTAACTTCTTCCTTCTTATAAACCTGTCCTCGCTTTCAGTGCTCTCTAATTTCGGTGGGCTTAGTTACTACAATAAATAAAAAGATCCTCAAATAATTCCTCACTGTTGCCGAAACCGGTTTGGCTCATTGGATAGAGCGTAGGCCTGCGGACTGAAAGGTCCTGGGTTCGATTCTGGTCAAGGGCATGTACCTTGGTCGCCGGCACATCCCTAGTATGGGGTGTGCAAGATGCAGCTGATCGATGATTCTCTCTCATCGATTTCTAACTCTGTATCTCTCTCTCTTTCTCTCTGTGAAAAATCAATAAAATATATATATTTTTAAAAAAATTCCTCACTGCAATGTTATGCAAATCACTGAACTCATTTGCTTTAGTGTTTAAGCAGCTGTGTATTATGGCCATGGTACAAAGAGGTAAAGGCTGTCCTAAAACAATTTTTTTTTCTTAAAGAGATTAAAAGAGAGAGAAAATATATATATATTCTTTAATCTCTTTAAGAAAAAAAATTGTTTTAGGACAGCCTTTACCTCTTTGTGTGTGTGTGTGTGTGTGTGTGTGTGTGTGTGTGTATAGATATAAATTATTTAGATCCTAAAAAGGAAAGTCTACCGGTACCAAGACATTTTGTGGCTGATTACAGTAGTTAAGTAAACTGATTGGGGCGGCAGAGGGGGAAGGAAAGGTGCACTCCGTGAAGAAATGGGTGGCTTCTGGATATTTTATATTCTTCCTGTAAGGGTAGAAAGAGCTTTCTAAGGAAGGTTTTGAATTAGACAATATATCCTATGACTACTTACTTGGGTGTCCTTCAATAAGCCCTCTCACCAATCTGCATTTTGTTTATTTATGTGCAAAATGAGGAATAAAATCTACTTTGCAACATTTCTATAAGGATTGCATGAGAAAATGTAAATCTCCTTCGTAGTAAGAGTTCCTTAAAGGTTAGTTGGTGCTACTACTGCTTCGGAGAATGGGCCGTGCCTTACTCCACAATTCCAGAAACTTTGTTTTTTGTAATTTAACACCCTCGGTTGTAAAGGATGAGAAGCATAAACAGTTTTATATCTAAGACTCGCTTATTTGGACTTGTTTGTTTGTAAACAAACAAACCCCGCTTTAAATTTTAGATAGGCAAAATACACTTAACTGGTTGCGGGACCCACTTTGAAAGCACCCCCACTCAGTTCTCACTCCGGGGGATTATGGGAAGTGTAGTCCTGCGTTCCAGTGAGATGAGTACAGAAAAGCGGGTAGGAAACTACAATTCCCAGAAATCAAGCGGGACTATTTCCCTGTCCGGAGGTAGGGCTGTGGGAGGGAATTGGCGATCTCTCTGCCTACGTGGGAGAAGGAGGGTTGGGGGAAGTGTGGAAGATCTGAACCCGAGTCCCTGCTGTCTGAAGAAGATTTGGTGGGAGGAAAAGTAGAAGGGAAAAGAGGGGTGGGAGGTGAGGTGAAGAGGGGATTTAGGTCGCTGCTCCCGGGCGGCACAAAGTTCCTGACGATGTGGCTGAAGCCTGAGGAGGTGCTCCTGAAAAATGCGCTGAAGCTGTGGGTGATGGAAAGGTCCAATGACTACTTCGTGCTGCAACGGCGTCGGGGCCACGGGGAAGACGGCGGAGGGGGATTCACAGGTAAGGTGTCGCCACCCTCACCCGCCTCCAGGCCGTGGTTGCTGGTACTTAGAAGGTGGGGAGGAGAACAGTTACTCGTCGCCACCCACCTCCGGATCCTAACCCCTGGGCGGAGGACCGGGGTTCTTCCCTCGCCACCACCTTTGCGTTGCTCTCCTCGAGTCCTGAGAATGCACCCCTGGATTGCAGGTGCACTTTGGATGGGACAGCGAAAGGGAGGACGGATTATTTCTGAGGCAAAGTACCTTCCCTGTCGCTTCGCATGGGGGAGGGGCTCATGAGTGTTAGACGTGCACGGATCGCGTTTAGGCTGGTGAGCGGGGCCAATTCGCAGTTTTGGACTTAACTAGATTCACAAAATCCCTATTGATAATCACTGCCCTGAGGAGTGTAAGTGTGTGGGGAGGGGGGAAAGGAGAAGGCAGGGAGGATGGTGAGAAAAGAAGGAGCCCCATCACATTCTGAAGGACTGGCTTCAAATGAGAGTCAGGAGTGAGGGGAGGGCGAGGGAGAGGTCTATCAAATCGCTGACCTCTTCCAATTTAGCATCTTTTACTTTGTCTACAAGGTTTCCATCTTGGGGCTCCCCTAAGTAACTATCGCAGTTTACTTCTGTCTTGAGTGCTTTAGTGCTGCCCTTTCTTTCAAAGCCACGATTGTAAGCAAACCAATTAAAGCAACGGAAGTTTTAACTCTTCCTGCCTAATCCATTTTACCTTCAATTCTGTGATTTACAAAGCAAGAACTATACCTTGGTCAAGTGCTTAAATCCACCAAAGAATTTGATTTTCAGACCCCTCCACTGGGGTAGGAGCATTAAAAGTTTTGGACATTACTAAGGTCAGAGCTTTTTTTGTGTGTGACACATTCTAGTTTGGTGTTGTGGCCTTGAAGTGGCGGACCAGGCTTAATTTAGGCAGTATGAGTAGCAGAAAGAAGGAAGAATCAAAAACTCTGCCTTTTAGTCACATTCGAAATCAATTTTTTTTTTCATTTATTCAACCATAAGTGCCTACTAGGTGCCTCATGGAATGCCTGATCCTCCTAAGTGGGAGAGGGCCAGGCTAAGAGGAAGTAACCAGTAATCCAGGCAAATTATAATTATAATCAGTAACTAATAAACCAGCTAAATTAGAATTAGAATCAAATAACTGAAGGGTTGAAAAAAGATTCCTGGAGGAGATGACATTGCTTTTCCTCTTCTGCAAAAATGGTGTTTATCTCACAGAGTTGAGAGGATAAAATGAAAGCTAATAGGTGCCAAATCAATGTATGTTGTTAAGATGTGTACTGCTATTTCCTTTTTTCAAGCCACACCCAGAGTGGAAATAATTTTGAGTTTCTACAAGGACATTAAAAAAAAAAATCTTGCAAGACCTATCTTATCCAGCTTCTAAAAAGGCTCTTTAGAAAATATGGCAAAGAAAATTGCCTCATTAGATTAACATTTTTTTTTTTTTTTTTTTTTTTTTAGTTTTCTGGTTTTTAAAAGTTGTGTTATTTCTCAGAGGAATCTTTCCATTTAACAGATACATATATTTTTCAGATTAAAATTTGAGAATCAATCTTCATCATTACCCAGTGATATAATTTATCCTCTTAGTCTACTGAGAACAAGTCAAAATATATTTAAATAGATCCTTATAACCCCGTATGACAGCATAATATTTTGTTTCCCTATCATTCTGTTTGACCAGAATTTTTCTGATGTTCTTGCCCACATTTACCCATATTAAGAAGTGTATTTTGCTTTTTACAATCATATTCCTGAAAAAATAATAGGCAAGTCATTCTTGAGAATCCTATCTCTGTAATATATTAAATGGTTTTTTATTTGTTGCACATTTCCTTTAAATGATCACTCCTTGTTTTCTGTGTTTGATTTTTCATTTGACATGCTTTCTTAAAGCATAGACCAATTGCACCAGTTTCTTATCTCTGATCATTTATTCTTCCCCATATTTCTAGACTAAGAGATTTGCCTGAAAAAATGAACCAAGATTTCTACCACACATGTCTGTTGAGAATATCCATAGCCAAATTTTTGTGGTCAGTTTATATCTCTGCATGATTGTTTTTACTTGTGGTATTGTCAAGATGCTTGAAATTACCAAGTGAGAGCTGCCACTATATTTCATGTAAATTAAACAATGGGTAAGAAAGGAGTAAAGATATGTTGTTTTTGTTAATCTTCACCTCACAAGGATATTTTCCCATTGATTTTTAGAGAGACTGGAAGGGAGGAGGAGAGACAGAGACAGAGAAACATGGATGTGCCATCAGTTGGTTGCCTCCTGCATGCGCCCCAACCAGAGCCTTTCATGGCCCATGCTCTGTCCGCTGAGCCAAACCAACTAGGGCAAGAGGTGTTTGTTTTTTGGGGGTGTCTAGAGCTAAATAAAGTGTGTGCTGGTTTTCATGGCTGCTCAATTACCTTATTCTTACTAAAATTGTGAAGCCAAGAGCTTTGCTGTGCTTTATTACAAATCCACATGTGGATTAGCTGCCACAGGAGTTTGACTATTACCAGCATAAGCTTGCCTTTGTCCATTTTGTTTGCTAAAATCCAGTGTTACATTCTACTCCTTTAAAAGATTCATTTTGTTTGATGAAGAAAAGATAATGACCATCTCAAAATATTAATAGTTGTACTGTCTTTAAGATTTCATTTCTTTGCCTTGTAATAAATGACAATAACCACCAGCAGTGTAATGACTTTTACTGTGGAGTTGGTGACTTTATTTTTTCTAATAATGGAATTGGAGCAATAGAGAACCCTAGTATGGTTATAATAGGAGACTAATTTGGAAGTTAGAATTCTGAGGTCCTTTTTAAAATTCTGAAACACTTTTGGTGGATATCTGATACTAGATTATTTACCATTTGTCTAACTTTATCTTACTTAATTGTCCTGGTTCCTAGCAGAGTGAAATATCTTGTGGAAATTTTTGTTATACATAAGATTAGTTTAATATAAAGTTATTTTCTTTCATTTAGATAAGTAATTCACCATTCAGGATTTTTTGTACTTACCTTACATTATCCCTTGTTCCTCCTGCCTGATTAAGGACAATTCTCTTCTATAGCATTTAAATTTAGCACCTCATTTTATGTGATTAAAAATAATTTATGCATGTCTGGCTTATTAGGTACAAGTGAATTTGCTCTGCTTTTCAAATGGGAGCTACTACCTGAGTGGAATTATGGTGCTGCATTCTATTAAGAACTTTAGTGTATGGGATTTAGGAAGATCTGACAAACAGGAACACAGAGTGCTTTTCTATTCCCAAGGGTTACCCTAGAACAGTGGTGGGCAAACTCATTAGTCAACAGAGCCAAATATCAACAGTACAATGATTGAAATTTTGTTTGAGAGACAAATTTTTTAAACTTAAACTTCTAACGCCACGTCTTCAAAATAGACTCTCCCAGACCGTGATATTTTGTGGAAGAGCCACACTCAAGGGGCCAAAGAGCCACATGTGGCTCGAGAGTCGCAGTTTGCCAACCATGGTTCTAAGGAGTTTCTATTAGTAAGTTAACGATAAGCCAACATCCACAAATACATGAATACACCACCTAGTTCAACAATTCCACTTATCACATTAACCCTTCTTTCTTTATATTTCCTGATTATTATTTTTATTCCTCATTTGTAATTGTTTTATAAAGGTTTTGTTTCCTCATCTTCTGTACCTCACAGCACTGTTATGATGTGAGTCAAGTGAGTTTTGAAATCTGTGAGCAACTGTATAAACATTTGATAGTCATTTATCTATTAAAGAAGGAGTAAGATGTTAAATAACATTTTCCCTAGTAATTATTCTTTTCATGTAGTACATAGAAATTGATTTGGAGTAGTAAGGTTACGTCCAATATGCAATGATATCACTGTAAAAGCAAAACACTGCTAGTTAATAATTCAAGAATTTGGGTATGATGATGATGATGTGCACTTATGCTTTATAATCAGAATAATGTACAACAATTAGAACAAAATATCACAATAGCATTACTCTTTGATCTACAATTGCCCCAAATCTAGAAATTTTCAAATAGAACTTTTACAGATGTAAATATCACTTGTCTTACTGAGTGGTATTAAAGAGTACATATAACTTTAGTTATCTTATGTTTTTAAAAACATAATAATTGAAGAAGTAAAGATTCAGTTGTTGAAATCCCATACTTCTGTTGTACAGTAATAGAATGACTATGGCTGTAAAGTAAGTTAAAAAGTAATAGCAAAATAAAGAGCATTGTAATGTTTACCATGTTGTATAGTTATGACATGGATTTTTACATTACCTTTGTGTTAGAAAATTTGCCCAGTTTTCCACCTCTTGCTGCTGCTATATAAGCTGCTATATAATGGAACAAGATACATTCATTCAACAAATAAGTACAGGTGCCTTCTAAAAACCAAACAAACACTGTTTTAAGTGCTAGCAATAACAACAGTGAGCTAAACAAAATCCCTGTTCTCATGGAGCTAACATATTAGTTGAGGAAGGCAAATAAAAAAATAATGTATTATATGGCTGGTGGTGATGAGCCATATGAGGAAAAATAAAGTAAGGTATAAGGATAGAGAAGGTATTTTAGAAAAATTTGGTCTAAGAAGGCTTATTAAGTAATATATGAGCAGAGACCAGAGGGACTAAAATATATGAGCCAAGCAGGTATTTGGGAGCAGAGTGAATATATATATTATATATAAATTTTTTCTAGAAATTTTACTGTGAAGGAAAGCTGAGAAATGGGTGGTAACTGGCTACTGTGCTGGATGTTGGGTATACAGTGTTGAATAAAACAGAAAGTATTCCTACCCTCACACAGTTTATAATCTAGTAGGTCAGACAGATAATAAATAAGTAAGCAAACTATATAATTTACTAAGGTTGTCAATAATATCAGCCCGGTTTGGGTAGCTTCTAAATAGTCACAAATAAGGGGTATTTGAAATTCCAAAAACAATTTTCCAGGCCAGCTCTGGTGTA